GTAGCCTTTGTACCCCGGTGCGTAGCCAATAAAAACACAAGGAGTAGATCGTGGTGATAGCTTATTGCTCGAAGTGGCGACTTTGTTAGGAAAACAGGCACAACCAAACACACGAAGAAAACTGTTGATGTACTTATATTTTACACACTTTTTAGGCTTAGTTTGTTGTTAATTTTAGTTATTAAAGTTGTAACACCGCCCCCGAGTATTTGTACTGTACCAAATTATGTATTGAACCTTGAGAAATGTATAAAAGCATTTTTACGTGATTGTAAATTTTTTTTATCATTTCTATTACGTGAATAGTAGAATTCACGTGGGGCCCACACCGGATGTGGGGCCGCCCGATATTATCGGAAGCACATATTATATCTATCTTGGACTAGATAATATGTATATGGTGATGGATATCCTAATTGGGCCATGGCAATGGCATAGAGTTGACCGGTTGGTCAAACGGGGCCAAATTATCGGTATCGGCAATTTATCTGATAACAGCCCAAAAAGGGATTCCGGAGATTTCTAAATTAAAGTTGGGGAATCATATTGATTCTAAGGTCCAATAAGGATTGGGAACAAGTGTTATATTTTATTTGACCCGATAAAATAAAATATACTTAAAACAGTCCGGAAAATACAACTTTCGGGACCGATTGTACACTCGGGTACACAAAGGGTTGACCTCCCACATGAGTGGGGGCCAACCCACGTCCTTGGTATGGAAAATAGTCAGGGGATCCGCATCATGGAGCTGAGAATTGGCTGGGGAAGTGATTGGGAGACCAATCAATATGAGGGTGGGACCTTTGCCATATGATTTGGTGAGAAATGCCAAAATGGCATCCTCAATCACCCCTCACCCCATATGCTCGGTTCAATCATCCAAGGAAGGGAGAGAAACTCTGAAAATACTCCATTTCCTCATCCTTTCACGCACCAAGAACAAAGGAGGAAGAAGGAGGGGAAAAGGGAAAAGAAAAGTTGGTGTTGGAGAGGAAAACTTGTGTTTGGCAAGGTAAGGACTCCATTAACCCCATTTCGTTTTCTTTAATCATCTTTTATGATTATTCAATCATATTTCACACCCTAGGATTTTTCTACACGTTGGGATGTATAGAAAGAGGGGTTGGAAGGTGGTTCTAAGTCCAAGAACGGACTTAGAAGCCAAAGGACCGGTTCGCCGGAAAATAACCTTTTGAAGGTTATTTGTATTACTATGGGTTTTATGATGATAAAACCTTGTTAGTAACTTGCCTAAGGTATTCAACGAACTTCCACGGAGTTGAAAAGGTCGCCGGAGTTGCCGCCGGAGTTCGTTGAAGTTCGTCGGAGTTTCGCCGGAGCTAAATCGGGAAGGCTAGAACTTCATAAGCTTCATTAAGGTGAGAAGATGGCTTTATGCTTTATAACTTTTGAGTTAGGCATGAGATTACCTAAAGTAATCAAGGATATGTTTTGTGGGATGATTAAAGATAATCAAGTATTTGCTTATGCCATGATTTTGCATAAAACATAGTTGAAAAGCATGTTATGTAGGTTTGGTGATTAAAAATGTGATAAAATATTTTGTGTGATGATCCAGGGGTCCAAAATGGTATTTTTGGATCGAGGACATCAAGAAGTGTATGTGTATAAAATTTCAAGTTAATCGGGCTCCGTTTGGGTGGTCAAAAGGGGCGTTGACCGCCAAGTCAACTGCCATACCCGACCGGGTATTGACACATACCCGACCGGGTATTTGCTGAAAAATTGCCCAGGGGGCTACTGTCTCCTATCCCGATCGAGTATAGGTAGATACTCGATCGAGTATACATGGAAAATTAGCTTTGGGGGCTACCGCCTCCTGTACTCGACCGAGTATGGGTAGATACCCGATCGAGTATTGGTTTATGCTCAAAACGGGCAGTTTTGAGCGGGTTAATGTGGGCCGTTCAGGTGGGACCCGCCCACGTTGGTTCCTAAGGATGGTTATATGACTATAGGGATAGGTATTGTCCATAGTTGAAGGAACGAAAGGTTAGCCATATCCAGGTTAGGGTTTGGTAAGGATTTAGTTTGGGGTTGAGCATCCCCGGGACTATAAATGATCCTGAAACTCGGTTGGGGTTGAGCATCCCCGGGACTATAAATGATCCTGAAACTCGGTTGGGGTTGAGCATCCCCGGGACATTAAATGATTCTGAAACTCGGTTGGGGTTGAGCATCCCCGGGACTATACATGATCCTGAAACTCGGTTGGGGTTGAGCATCCCCGGGACCGCAAATGATCCTGAAACTCGGTTGGGGTTGAGCATCCCCGGAACATTTAATGATCCTGAAACTCGGTTGGGGTTGAGTATCCCCGGGATGCTAAGTGCTCCCAAAACTCGGTAGGATATTATAAATGTAGAATGTAGCTGGCGAGCTAGGTATTCGGGAAAAGGGTGAGAAAGGTCAGGTAAGAACTTTATCTCTAAAAGACTCTTTGAATGAAATGACCTACGGGTCGAGTATTTTACATATATATACAGTATGTATCATCGGATGAATGAGTCACATATATATATGTATCACCCTATTTTTGGGTCTCGTGTCTGAAACATTAGTTATTCTTCATATAGCCTGCTTGTCACTAGTACTTCTATGGAGTACTGACCCCTCCGGGGGCCCTCACATTTTTCAGGTTGAGGCTAGGGTCCTACTACCTGCACCTTTGCCTAGGGTGATCGATCGAGAAGGAAGACGTGGTTCGTGCTTCCATTCATATTTCAAATGTATAAACTGCTCATGGATTTTTTTGAACAATATTTTCATTAAAACAGTTGGGGGCCTGCGTGCCCGTGTTTGCCACGTGTGGCTAAGTATCAAACATTTTATTACTTCCGCATTTGTTTGATTATGATATTGATGTTGATTGTATGTGTTTACTAATCGGTTTGGCAATAGAATCAATCCGACGCCTTGTACAATCCAATAGGGATGAACTGTTGTTTTTCTTATCGGGTTGTACGGCGGTTGTCTACGTGGCTCGGATGCGGTCCGGGGCGTGACAAAAGTTCTACTTTTGTACTTATTTTGATTATTTGTCGTTAGTTTGTACTTGTGCAGTCCTACACGGGTATTTTGTATTTTCAGGTACTTTTGATGCTATTTGGATACATTAGAGTGTGAACAAAAGAAGAAAATAAAAGTTCAAGTTGGAGGTCAATAAAAGTGGAATTTCCTTCAAAACAAATAAGGAGTAAATTGAAGAAAAGAAGCAAAATTAAAAATAGTGGAGCTGGGAATCAATCCATGAACAAAGGGTAGAAGAATGCCTATTACTACCAGTGTGCTAAGTGATCAATGTTGTACATATTCAGCTGGCAATTGTTATATTCCTTCTGAACGCGGCAAAGAAAAGAACAAAATGTTGAAGCCGAGAATCGATCCCACGATCTCCGAATTTTCCCCTGAAACGTTTGTCCGTTGAGCTACTTGCCACTGTTAGAACTTTACTGCGCTTTGTTGTACATAAACTCATTTGTTCCATAAATTCCAGCAATTAATGATTAATCACCTTATCATTATATTGCCTTAATCCATCTTCCTCCACACATAAGCTCGGACCAACCTCTCTCAAAACATCCCAGAAACATTTCCTCCTCCTTCTCTCTTCATTTCTCAACCCCAAATCATCAACTCATCTTCAACCATAACTAATCACTTTCTCATCCAAGATTAAGTCAAGATTAGCATCAAAGCTCCAAGGATTGTCATCTATCACAAGTTTGATCTTCCTTATCTCATTAAATCTTGTACTTTAATCATGGATTCATCTATTTCTATGTTTCCCAACATGTATAGCTAAATAAATTTGGGGCTAGAAATTGGTTAATTAATTGTTCTTATAATGTTTTAATTTTTATTGATTTTAATTGTTAAGTTTGTTCTATTTAGATTGTTGTGTCCAGAAAATTAATTATGTTGTGTTTATGATATACATTATGAGTACTCAATCATAAACATATTGTTTGTTAAATACACAAATGAACACTTTCTGAACACATCGTTAAACTTCTTTTACCTTGTCCCGGATTGAAGTTTTACAGGAGAATTTAATTATTTAATTATATTATTTACACCACGGGGTTGGGTAAATAATATAGTTAATAATTAAGGTTGTCGTTGCACTTAAACAACTAGTCTCGTTTTGGCCATCACTGGGAAATGTTGACTAGTTACTTATTTTAGGTGACTTGTGTTGGGTACTAAAATATTTATCTACAACTTCTCACAATCTATCTAAGAATAAAATTAGCAATTATGTCTTATAAATGAGCATTGAACGATTAGTTGCCAATTTCTACCCCTACTTGCTATTGGTTGAACTTTGTGTTGATAAAAATCTCTTCTCAATCACTTTTATTTAATTACTTTTCCAAGCAAACAAAAATCAAAAGAAACGCACTCTCAACTTTAATCCTTAGTTTGTGCTTAATTATTTTATTTCCCGCTTCTCTGTGGTTCGACACCCTACTTCCTTGGGTAAAAAAAATAGTTGTGTGCTCATTATATGCTACACACCAACTGTAGTCCGGGATTTTTTGAAACATTTCTGGTACGGACTGAGACCCTATAAAATAGGCGTGGGGAGGCGATTGATAACGTACGTGGCAGTATAAAGGGCATCAACCCAAAAAGAGGGAGGAAGGTGCGCGTCAATAAGCATAGTACGTGTTATATCTAAATGGTGACGATGCTTGCGTTCAGCCACGCCATTCTGAGCGGGGGTGTCTGGGCATGATTTTTGAAATAAAATACCACAATTAAGAAAATTATTAAAAAACTGATGGTTATTAAATTCTCCCCCTCCGTCACTCTGAAAATATTGGATTTTACAACCTAAAAGATTTTCAGTTAATTTTTGAAAATTACAAAAATGGGTAAAAACCTCAGATTTTCTATGCATGGGATAAATCCAAATAAACCTAGAAAAATCATCAATAAAACAAACGTAATATTTATAACCAAGATGAGATAAAACAGGAGACTGCCAGACATCAGAATGTATTAATTGTAAAGGAGCAGTAGCGGTATGTAAAACATCCTGAAAAGGTAGACGATGGGATTTCCCAAGTTTACAAGAAGTACATAAATGTTTAAAATTACTAGAAGGAAAAATAAAATGTGTGTGCCGAAGAGTAGATAATACGCTATCACCACAATGACCTAATCGTTTGTGCCATACCGGACCGGAGACAGAGGAAGTAAAAAGGGCCAAAGGTGAGGAGGAGAGCGTGAATTGATAAGTCCTATCCTTATTGGAAGCGTGGAGTAGAGTTGCCCCGTGTGATTGTCCTTTACAAAAAAAGAAGATTTGTTAAAAATAGCAGTACAATCATTATCCTCACACAGCTTTTGAATCGACAATAAATTAAATTTAAGGTGAGGAACATGATATACTGAGTTTAAGTGAAGCGGGCAACCTATGGAAGGTAAAGTAACATTGCCAATAGTAGACACAGATAAATTAGTACCATTAGCGACCTTCACATTAGTGGGGACAGTAAGAGTGGATTTATTACTTAAAATACCTTCCGCTGGTGTCATATGTGCTGAGGCACCAGAATCCGGATACCAAGTCGTCTCGTTAGTCTCACCGGTTGGTAAAGCAGCTAGTGCCGGAGAGGATCCAGAAGTGAATTTGGAGCAAGTGATAGCGGAGTGACCAGGTGTGAAACATAATTGACAAACAACCGGGGGCGGGGGAGATGCAAAAGTGTGATCAACTGATGGGAAACCTGCACCGTTAGTGTGAATACCACTAGTATAATATGGAAACAGACAAGAATTAACCAGATGAATATTACCCATACCTGCACTGGGTGCTCCCGGATGAAAAGATGCATGATGTCCTGGTACTGATAAGGAAATCCTCGTGGATAATCCTGCTGTCCAGGATATCCGGGGTAGCCATACCCCCTGCCACGGCCCCGATGTCCTCGCTGTGAGCGCTGGCCGCGTCCACCACGACCTCCCCGGGATGGGGTACCTCCTCGGCCAGTAAACTGCTGCTGCTGCGGACGGCCTGAGGAATGGCCAGAGAGCTGTCCAGGGGCTGCAAAAGCCTGGTGATGAGTAGCAGCCGCATCCGTGCCATGCATGTATTGCAGCCTGTGCCCCTGTTTAACTAAGATAGGCCCCAGTTGATCAAAAGTAAATGTAGAAGGCATATATGACAACCCGCCTAGCATGGATTCAAATTCCGGATCAAGACCAAGAAGAGCAATTTCAATGAGTTCCTTGTCGCTAACCGGGGAGTTGATTAGCGCTAAGGAGTCCGCGGCAACCTTGATTTCCCGAAGATATTGGTCCATGGTTTGACCGGGCTTTTTCTTCTTCGTGGAAAGTTGACGTTTAACTTCCATGGACCGTGCGATGCTGGCAGACATGAACTTGTTTCTAAGACGGTCCCAAATTAAATGAGAGAATTTGAGTTCATGTACATCAATCAAAATATCCCGAGAAAGAGTAGCAAAAAGCCATGACCGGACAGTTTGATCTATTTTCAACCAATGTTGATAGTCCGGATTTACACTTTCCCTACGCATAGCATCCAAAATAAACGGCGAAGGAATAGGAATTGTACCATCCAACGCACCCAACAAACTATGGGAGATCAAAAATGATTCTAACTGCGTTTTCCAAGGTAAATAATCCTGAACCGACGCCAAACGAGTTGTGACAATATTGGTAACGTTTAGCGTGGAGAAGGTCAATTGAGAGGCCATAGTTGAAAGATACGAAGTAGAGTTACCTGCGGCAGGGAATGATGGATGCGACTGCAGCGACGTAGGGCCTAAATCAAACTGGCCAGTAACAGTGGGTGAGAAACCGGACGTACTGCTAGGAATTCTGGCTGGCGACGAAGACGGCATGAAGGTCGGCTGCCATGTAAAAGGCTCCGGCATCTGAAATGAGGAGAAGCTTGAAAGTTGAGGGCTTGGAGCCGTGTAAATTGCGGATGCGGGAATAGCAGTCTGCTCCTGCACGCATGAGGACGTGGGGTGACTGAACGATGGCTGCTCCACGCTTGTGGGCGCCGAGGAAGAGAACGCCGAGGACTCTGCGTTGATGTGCGGCAGAGAAGTAGTCGCGCTGAAGGCCGAAGATGCGATCGACGACGTGGTCGTATGGTATCATTTAGCTTTGATACCATATGAAATATTATGACGGAATGGCTCCCCCTAGCGGTAGTCGTATGTGTTTATATATAATAATCCAAGAATCGGTAATTACAACAGTATCCCTACAGTATATCTATTATTTTTATCCTGTACCAAAACCGTACCGTTTGAAACGGGTACAGGACCGGTCCTAGATTTTGAGAACCGAAAAATATCGGACCGAACCGTTCGAAAATAATGTATTTAAATTTTCTATACTTTTCTATATCAATATCTCTTTTATAGACCAACAATTTTGTACCCCAAGTATGTATTCATGTGTCCCTAAGATATCTAAATGTATGTGTTTATATATATATATATATATATATATATATATATATATATATATATATATATATATATATATATATATATATATATTGTAAATATGTTTCACTTTTTCGTTACCGCGAAAAAGTGCAACAGAAACATGCAAAAGTACAAGCAAAACATGTAAAAGTGCATTTCTTCGCACTTTGCACGGGAAGAGGTCTTTTTATTTGAACTCTTCCCTATATATATATATATATATATATATATATATATATATATATATATATATATATATATATATATATATATATATATATATATATATATATATATATATATATATATATTCATTTGTGTGTGCGTGTTAGTATAAAATTTAACTGTGATTATAACTCTAACCTTCTCTTAGAACATTTAGGACATATTTGCCTATTTACTTGATATAAGTTGTGAGCATATTGGTTTGATTTAACCGTACCAAACCGAAACCATATGTAAAATTTAGCTATGATTTAGGATGTATTTGCCTATTTACTTAATACAAGTTGTGAGCATATTGGTTTGGTTTAACTGAACCAAACCGTACCGAACTGAAGCAAAATCTGATAACATTGGTGCGTGTTATTCCCTAATAGACAAGATAATGATGTTACCCCATTTCAAATGTGAGAAAGCAAAATTAATTTCAATTCTTTTATTGATCCTTAATTTATGCAAAAGTATTCTAAAAACTTTTGAGTTATAATTGTTCACTCTTAGGGGAAAAAAATCAATATGGACATAATGAAGTAGAAAAATCCTATAGAAATACAATACACTGATTTTCCAGAAAAATTGAGGTTTGATCAATATGGACTATTTAAACTCATACACCTAAAATTTCTTATTCTAAAAAAATGCCAGGCAAAATGCAATTTTTTGGGACTTCATGAGCAAAAACGATGTCTAATATGAAGCATGATGTATTCGAGTATCCATTTGAATTTTACCATGATTTTAAAGTTCTAATTAGCTCCATGTGTCATTATAGGTTACTATTCAAAAAAAGATTAACAACTTTTTTGCCTTCAACTGTTTATTTAATACAAGTGCGCTGTTTAATTTTTTCAAAGGAATAAATTTTAATAAAGAATTAATAATAAGTCACTTTTAAACAAAATAATTTAATATGCTTAAAAAACAAAATAATTTAATAAAAGACAGAAAGATAATAGGAATGTGGTGAAGAAATTCAGAAGATAATTATTTCTGTGAAATCATTTTACAAGTCTCTACTTCTTCTAGATTATCAAACAGGTTGGGGTAATCACATACAGTTAAACACTAATGATAATTATTAGTCACTTATAATATGGTTTTAATTGTGGAATATTCTACTAACAAGAACTAATATGTCTTGGTCGATTTTTTAAATATAGTAAGTTTAGAAACTAAGTTAACAAGAGAAAAATTTTATAACAAAAAATTCAATAAAATTTTTCAACACGAATTTTTCAATAAAATTCGGAAACAAGTATGATGAGTTTTAAAAATAAAAGAACATTTTATCAAGAACAGAATTTTGTCAAAAAGACTTTAAATTTATAATATGTCTATCACCCTAGGAAAAGCAATATCATGACGTAAGTTAAAATCAAAACTAGGCATACATTATTATCTAAACCTTGTTCAGAACGATTACATATAAAGTCTTTCAACAGATATATTTTACAAGAATATTATTAAATGAAAAACGTCTAGAAATGTTTACAAAACAATTCTATATTTTCAAACAATGAAGCTTAAAAAAAGAGTGGATTTGAATAGTATGGTGGCATGAATAATTACAAAAAAAATATGACTGCAAGTTACTTTAAATTGAACAAAGACTTATCTTTACTAAATGACTGCAATTGATATGAGGAGGCATCCCACACTTTCCCCTGCAAATAAAAACGTTTTAAAAAGCCCGAAGAAGATTGAACTAATTATTTTAGATATAGGAATGATTTTTTTTTTATTAAATCTAAAAATAAAAAAGGAGAAACTCTCATAACATTTGACTTTGCTATTCAAAAAGGCTTAATGCTCTTCAACATAATACTTTTTAAAAATTATATAATCAACAGTGATATGTATAACTCCCATCAAAACTAACACACCCACCTTTGCAGAAAATCAACTGTTTGATTTCTGCATATCATATGATCTAAAAGTAAATGTAAAAAAATTAGACTGATCGAGGTGGAGAGTGTAGCGAGAGATTGAAATGATTTTCATCTATGAAAATCATGAATGAAAATAAAACTAAAGGAAATAAAACTAAAAATTACCATAACGAGACATTAGCGACGAACTCTGTTGATTAAAATCGAAATTTTTTGTTAGAAAAAGAACCTAGAGAATGGGACAGTGGAGAAGGAGGGCGTGGAGACTCGAAGGTGGAAGTTGAACCGATTCATCTCGGTGAAACCATAAATGATGTAATTATATATGTGGCTTAGAAGTGGGTTGTGTGCTGATCAATGAAAAACAATTGGACTGGGTGGATTTGTTGATCAAGAAAAAACCTATGGGACGGGTGAGCTTATTGTTCAATATAAAAAAAATGAGCCGGTGGACAGTGTATTGCGTTGAAATTAAGCACTTTTTTAGATAATTCTTTGTATTTTTTAATAAATGAAAATTGCATGATTTTAAAATATTTTTAATGTTATTGGTTTTTTCAGTCTTCTTTCATAGTATGGAAAATGTCATTTATCAAAATGAAAAACACCGTTGAATTGAAATTTGAACAAGTTAATTAAAATCTTCCAATTGTCATTACGTTCAGGTATTTAACTAAAAAAGATATTGAGGAATATAATACCCATTAGAAAGCATAGCAAAAAATCTTCAATTTAGTATTAGAAAAAGAAGCAGCAGATATTACAAAAAGTAAATCATGTCACATTTCTTTAAAAATATGCTACCGAAAATATTTAGCTCATACGTCGTATTTATTTTTCAATTTACGTTCAATTATTTTATTCCCAAATCACTCTCTAAAACTTTATAGTAAAAAGCACTACTTATTATAATTCGTGCCATTGTTAGTTTTATAAAACTTGGTATTTGAACAAGTTAAAACACACATATCTTACGTAGCACATACCGGGGTTGGGACATATTTGTAAATATTAAATATTATAAAATAAATTATCATAAAAGGAAGTGTAAAAAGTCATGGATCAATCCTAATTTTATACCGCAATTATCATTCATTTTGAAATCAAACGTTTCATTTCATATTTATTTTATTATTGTTTAATTTGTATAGAATACTTCTATCCCCTAAATTCGGACAAAAGGTGTGGTGTGATTATAAAGAAAAGTGAAATTGAGTTGTAGGTATTAAATAATTGGTAAAGTGTAAATAACAGAAAATTAAATTGTAATCAATCAAACTTTACAAAATATGTTATGACACAAACTTATTTGAACGGATAAAACATTAAAACGGGGCAAATATAATGTGACGGGGAGTAACACATGTGATTATCTAAAGCATAAAATTATTCTTTTTGCTAAACTTTCACAATACTTTGTGAGTCATGGCATCAATATACTACGTACTTAGTTGAGTGTAACTACTAACTACAAAACATTTAAATAAAATTCGGCTTTCTGGTGTGCCCAATTATGAGCTCACATTGAAAGTTGGTGCTCATGTGATGCTTTTGTGAAACATAGACTTTTTTTTAATCCGGAAGGCAAACCACCAAAATCAGTGGGGTAAATGCCGGATGTCATTTACCAGAGTTTTATTAGATGACAGGGTGAATACACTGTTGGGTGTGTTTCGGAAAAACGAAGAAGTATTAATTAAATAAAATTAATTAATAAATAAAATAGCTAAAAGAAAATTGAAATAAGATGGAGCAGATTTTAGCCAGAGCTCGTGCTACGCACGATGTCCTTAAAACGTATTCGTCGCCTCCCACGGTGCTAGGAGCGTTGCAACGACCGTTTCCTAGGATACGGTGGCTAACGAACGGTCGTTTGAGCACACAAACGAAAGTCCCGGCGAACTGGAACAATAGAAGAACACTAGGGAAATTTGGGAGTAGCTGGAAGTGTTTTTAGCTCAAGAAAACGTGAGGAATGTATTGTGTGTTGTGTCTTCTTGCAAACCACCTGTCAGCTATTTATAGGAGGATTTGTTGTGTGTTAAATGGGGTTTTAATGGACCTGAACGTTGGACATCAATGACCAGTCCGTTGGGCATTGAATCGTCCATAAACTGTCCATTTAACGCAGCATCAAAAGAGAAGAACGTTGGGCATTTATTGTTGTAACGGACCAGAAGACCTTCTGTTGTGAACAGAAGGCCTCGAGCGTCTCCGTTGCGAACAAAAATTAGACCGTATATTTGAATGATAGATTTTTCGGGCAGAGGGAGTACTATTTATAACAATTCATGTGATATTTTATTTTCATCAAGAAAAAGTATATAGAAAACAACTCACAATAGCAAACAACATCCAAGCCTCATTCCCAAGACAAAAGTGGGTATATAGAAAACAACTTAAACTATAAAATTACAGAAAGATTATAAACAGTAACCCCGAAATAGTTTTTACTTTTCAAAATTGTAGATTGAATATTTTATGTGTTATTAATAATAATAATAATTACTACGTATTATATAAGGATATTTTGAGGTTTAATTTCCAAAACACACTGGTATTAAAAATGCTTCTCCTATGTTTCGTTCTATCGCTGTTTTTTATCGAGACCGCTGACTCCCTGAGGCAAACAAGCAGGGGCGGACCCAGGAAAGTCATCATGGGGGCGAAAATATTTTTTGGGGGTCTGTACTACGGTCCGCCCCTGCAAACAAGTCACTTACCAAACACTTTTTTAGCAGTGACTGTTTTGGCCAATGATAAAACCAGTCAACATCACCAACCTCCAGTGAACCAATCATTTACCAAATACTCCCTTTTTCTAAGACAGAAAATTACCTGCAACTCTGCAAGGATAATCTCAACTCAGGGTTGGCATCTGATGCTGGCAAAGCTTTAGACACTTTGGCATCCTTATTACAGCCATGTGTTTGCCTAGCCATTAAGATAGACCATAAGGGTATTTTTGGATCCAGTAAAATGTTTGGGAAAGGAAAACAAATGTTAAGAAAATTAATTTATTGAAGTTGGCTTTGCCTTTAAAAATGAAAAAGGCAAATGAAATATTGGTTAAATTTTTTAACGTATACTCTCTGTATTTTATTGTTTGCTACGATAGGGTTTGGCACAATATTTAAGGGAAAAGTAGTAGGAGTAATGAATAGTGTAAAACAAGTAGGAGAGAAGGTGGAAAAGTATTAAAGAGAAGATGAAAAAGTAGACAAAGTAAGCGTAATTGAGTATTTTTAAAGAAAAACTTATCAAAAACGGAAAGTGTAGCAGAAATTAAAATGCATCTCAAAAAGGAAAGTGTAGCAAACAAAAGAATACAAAGAGAATATTTAAATGTTTAACTAGTAGTGTTGTCAATCCCGGATAGCAGTATAGTGATAGCGGGATGACCACTATTTAGACAATATATGTGTGTGTATGCATGTATGTATGTATTCACATACCATACTCCTCGAATAAGACATCCCTTATTGTGGAACTATTTAGACTTCTTATTCCCTTAACATGGGATGACTTCTCCAAAAACACCCAAAAGTAAAAAGTACTCCCAAATGCCCTCAAAACTAACACTGAAGTAGCTCTGTAAATTATAGCGGCTCTATAGCGCCAGCTACGTACAGCCACTGTTCTTCCCGCAATAGCGCCCGCTACAGCCGCTATTCCCAATGATACTCCCTATTTCCTTTCCCTATTATTTTCCAGGTTCCAAATGGACCCTTAGGGAGTCAGTCACATACCATACTCCCGGATAAGGGAATAAGAAGTCTTGTAAACCATAACAGTGAAACAGTAACAAAAAGAAAAATATACTGTGATAGGATTATATGTTAGAACATAGAGTAGGAATAAAAAGAAAAAGTGTATTTACCGTCTCACTTCATCATCACGCATCTTGGAATCAAATTCCTTGCTTGGCGGATACTTTGGCAAAGAAGATGGATCACATGGAAGAGGTTGTGTTGTGAAGAACTGAGAAAGTTTATATAAAAAATATGACCTCCATGAATGTAGTTGTAGGAGTTGCATAAATACCAAAATATTCTTTCAATACATACCAAAATATAACATAAATTATTGGTGTATAAAAAGTTGTGAAAAACTGAAAAAGTTTATATAAAAAACAGCGAGTACACTATTATTGGGTATATAGAAAACAACTTAAACTACGAAAGATAAAAAAATTGGTATGTTGTGAAGAACTGAAAAAGTTTATATAAAAAACAGCGATAGAACGAAACATAGGAGAAGCACTTTTAATACCAGTGTGTTTTGGAAATTAAACCTCAAAATATCCTTATATAATACGTAGTAATTATTATTATTAACACATAAAATATTCAATCTACAATTTTTAAAAGTAAAAACTATTTCGGGGTACTGTTTATAATCTTTCTGTAATTTTATAGTTTAAGTCGTTATCTATATACTCACTTTTGTCTTGGGAATGAGGCTTGGATGTTTGTTGTTGTGAGTTGTTTTCTATATACTTTTTCTTGATGAAAATAAAATATCACATGAATTGTTATAAATAGTACTCCCTCTATCCCGCTATGATTGTCCCATCTTTCCTTTTCGGTTCATCCCACTGAGATTGTCTCATAACAAATTTGATAAAATTTGTGTTGTTCTAAATCATCTTTACTTTATTCTTTCTTGATTTATAATGTATGAAAAAGTCAAAAAACTACATACATATATTGTATATAGAACAACCATATAAGATTTTGAAGTGATCTCAGGACATGTTATTCTTCACTTTGCTTGGTATTTAGAACTTCCAAGGGCAGTCAAACTCCAAGTGTGTCTGCGAGCAGAATGATCCCGCAGAAAGGGGTAGTTCAGTCTTTCCAGATCTGTCGTCTAGAGGCTCTTTACATGGTGATCATTTTGCGGGCCACGAGGGATGGGACGAGGTTGGTTCTCTGGGAATCTGGGATATGGTGCAGAGCTGAGAACACGGAGATCATACAGACCTCATAGAGGAGGGGGAGGAGGAGCTGAGCTATCCCAGTTCTCAAATTCAATGACAGCTAGTTGTGGTAGTTCTAGATTTCATCTCACCAAAGATGGTGGCATCCAATCACATTGGCCCAATAAGCAGTTTGGAACAAAATATAACCCGTTAAATGATCCAGAGTCTTCTCATTCTTTGCTTGGGATAAGAGGAAACCACGGCTCCAAAGAGGACACACATCCCCCTAGAAAGGAGTATACAATGGTAAGGATCTAATATGATTTCCTATAGATTCATCACATTGGTGTGTTTGGAACACGGAAAATGGTAGGGGAAACAAAAAAAAATCTGACATATATTTATATTAGTGAAAGTAACACATGCACGCACTTATATCCCAAGCAAAGAATGAGAAGACTCTGGATCATTTAACGGGCTATATATACCCAATTTAGACCTCCATGAATGAAAAAATTTTAATATTCTTTCAATACATACCAAAATATAACATAAATTATTTAAAAAGAAAAAATAGCAATATATATATAGGGAAGAAATCAAATAAAAAGAGGTTCTCCCGTGCAAAGTGCGAACAATTGCACTTTTTCTTCACCGCGTTGCACTTTTGCGTGTTTCTGTTGCACTTTTTCGCGATGGCAAAAAACTTCGTTTTAATTACGAAATTGTCACCGCGTTTTTTATCAAATTTAGTTCACTTTTGGCTCATTTTGAGCCATTAGATCTCAAAATGAACGCACGAGATTAATTCTCACTTTGCATGGGAAGACATCTTTGTATTTGAACCCTCACTTATATATATATATATATATATATATATATATATATATATATATATATATATATATATTGCTATTTTTTCTTTTTAAATAATTTATGTTATATTTTGGTATGTATTGAAAGAATATTAAAATTTTAGAAATCATTAATGACTATTCATTTCTAATAATGCAGTGTAGACTTTTTGTTGTATCATGTTTGTGCAATTTTTACAGCCTAATTAATATGGTTTAAATCTTATCTCTCAACAGTGGCGGAGCCATTTTGGGTCCAAAGTGTTCACATGAACACTTAAAAGTTTGAAAAACATGCAAGTATTTATGTATATATTTTGTGTAAAATGTTTTTTTTCTTTGAAATTTTAATTGTATAAAAAATGAACACTCAAACCCTAAAATATAAATCCGTCATTAGCTCTCAAGGTTGAACTATAAATTAAATTAGGACTACGGAATAATATTTAACCTAGAACGAAGAAAAAGAACGTTGAAGATTTCTATTATATTCAACAATTTGATGATATTCGTTTTTATATATTCACATGAACTTAGTAAATTAAAGATGATATTTATCTCGTGCGTCATCGTTTTGTTATACTTTTTCTTTGTTGTGTTGCACTATTTGTGTATTTGTAAATTTTAGGTACTATTGTGCAATTTCTTGTATTTATTTCAACATTTCATGTGAGTTGATTGGTGTGATGATATCTACTAATTGCAAGATTTGTTCAAATTTTTTAGCATGTTGTATGACATTGTACTGTACCATTTTGTACCATTCCGAAACGACATGGTACCGAACGGTTCTATCTTTGGAACCGGACCGTTAAAAACCTCACGAGTACACTACGGATTTTACCAATTTACGGGGTCGTTCCGTACCACGCCCACCCCTACTTATAACTTTGACAACTTTGTTTGGTTCTCTCAAAAACTTTGTCACTTACCCTTGTAATCAATCAATTTGTGGCTCTTGTGATTTCTTTTTCCTCTGCACAGTTTCTACTTTATTATTCTACGTGTAGGGATGGACTCAGGCGGGCCAACCGGCCCGGAACGGGATCGGCCCGCTACTGTGTGGGTCCAGACCGGCCCGGTGAACCGGTTAGTGCCCGGTTCGGGCCACCCGGCCCGGTGAGATAGCGGTTCGGGCTCGGGCCTGCTATATAGCGAACCGGCCCGACCGGGCCTCAACGGTCAAAATTTTTAAAAAAAAAATTGTTAAAGGCTCTATAGCCGTTGGGAGAGCTCCCAAACGGCTCTATAGCCGTTGGGAGCATAGGAGGGGGGTCTGGGGGTTTAGGGGGTGGGGTGGGGTGGGGGTGGGGTATACAAAAAAAAACCTATTTATACTCCTATTTTCTATACATTTTTTACACCTCTTCTTCTACAACTCTTCGGCCTCTTCCTACTCTCTAAATTCTCTATTCTCTCAATCTCTCATATTCAATCATCTTCATTCTTCATCTTCTCCAAATTCTTTCTACATATATATAATTTATATAATTATTATATCTACTTATATATTAATTATCTACTTATAAATATATACTTGTTGGGGAATATTATCCTGGCCTGCTACTGTTCAGAGGCCCAATGCATCACCCCGACATGGAGCCCGGTCGACGAGGCCCATTTAGGCCTACCTGGCCTATTTTCGGTCCATCGGCCCATACTTCGGCTCAACTACCCATTTAGGCCCATTGGCCCATTAGAATAGATTGATAAGCTCCCCCTTTTCTATAAATAGGGGGCTGGGCTTCCTAGGGAGAGGATGGATTTTTTTGGCTCTTCTCTCCTGGGAGACTTCTCCCCCTCCCCTTACTGTTTTCTTCTTCCTCTTTTGTAGCTAGCAAATGAAGCTCCATTAATGGAGGGTTCAGCCTATGTATTATGTAATGGAATGAGGAGAGAGCATGTTAATGAGAAAGAGCGGGCTTGGACGTTAGCCTAAAAAGTCCCGTGGTTTTCTCCCTTTCCGGGTTTCCACGTAAAAATAGCTAGTTTATACACTTTTATATTTATTATTCACTTTTATACCGAATCCATGATCCCTAATATCCGAAGTTATGTTGGGCTTTCGGATCTACGGGACTAAAACTCAACATTGGCACCGTCTGTGGGAAACGCTCAAAAAACTACATGTGTTCTCGACATTTCTACCAAAATTCATACAAGATGGACTGATTTTTAGAGAAAAGAAGAGGGAGGAGGGAGTGTTTCTGGGAAAAACACAAGAACAGAAGAAGAACTCCAGACAAAGTCCAGACTCCAGCAGCTGAGTCGTCGTTCCAAATGACTGCTCCCATGTCCCGAACAAATGCCAGGGCCGAAGCAGTCCCACGAGAATTACTATCCGGAGCAGCCAGTGATCGAAGAATATGGTGAGTGGGATCCGTGTGCCCACCAGCTTCCTACTCCCGAAGCCTGACAACAAGATAAAAGTCTGACAACCACACAAGTGGGAGATGTGACAGATTCAAGATTATCCAAAAAAGCTCATGCTTCCCGAACGGAAGCTAACAACTATACCCAGAGGGAAACTCAGGAGGCCACCAATTCAAGTTATTGTCCCCATGTCCAAAGAAAAGAGGCTAAAACCGGAGCAGCAGGTCAAAAGGTTATGGAAGGAGGTGGTCGTGGGTCCATGTGCTGTTTTACAGGTTTCACGTGGGTACCCTGACATGGGTGGTGATTGGACAGATTAATTCTTATCCAAAATCCAAGGTAAACATGATGTCCCGAACGGGAGTCTTTCCTTCCCGACTGAGCATGCCGGCGGAGGATCAACTATGGAACCACGGGGAGGGCTGGTCATACCCCGATCGTGGCGGGTCAACATAAAACAGAACGATAAAGTCACGCCAACATAATGAAGGGAATGGTCTTGACGACCATATTCCTTGCTCGAGCGGCCTGGACTTTCCGGACATTCAGAGTTCCTTAAATCAACAGATGTCCCGGTTCAGCACATTTATCTTGAGCCACTAAAGGATACCCAATCCGAACGGGAAACTTCAGTCTGGGATCATCAGAGGAATCACATGCCAAAGGGGAACTCCAAAACATGATTTTCAACATTATATTAATTGTGAACAGTAGTCAGACATACCAACCAGGAATGATCAGAACCAGTCCATGCTGGATCCTTCCTCTGCTTACCCATTTTGACAATTAACCGAAAGGAAACATCTGCTGTGGTTTCCGGGAAGAACAGCAGTCGATAGGCCGCCCCCGGGCTTACCAATGGAAGGCGGGCTGGGAAAATAACAGACATGCATCAGCTTATCTTCATGGTGTATCTACCCGAACAAGAAGAGTATGGGAGCGTACTGGTTTTGTCCAACGTATCCCCTCCCCGAACAGCTTAGCGGGTACCCACATGATTAAGGCTGATGTCCAGGTTTGACTGCGCTGACCAGCAGACACTCATAGGCCACTCATACCTCTTCATTTCCCGAACGGAAAACATTCTGGGAGCATGCCTGAAAATACTTCAACTCCAGAGGACACCAGTAACCTGTTGTCCCGAACGAGATTCTGCCAAAAATTGAGAGGATAGGAACTACATACCCTTACCATTCGTGGCTGAACAGATAGACCTCGAAGAAAGGACAAATGCACATTAGTTTTGAACGGTGGTTTTCAAACGCTTACAAACCATCTCGAGCAGCACAAATCCACGCTCAATTTGACACACCAAACCAGCTCAGATCCACCATCATTTCAGACCCATTAGCAGACTCCGTTGGCGTTTGACTGACCAGTCTCCGTTCAGACGGGGCAGCAGTTCCCGTTTGAGCAAACCGGCGATGATGACAAGGAAAGACGAACCTCAGTCTCCAGCCTGCCGCCGACCATCGACTAGCTAAGTCGTTCCTCTATGGCGTACGACATTTACCGTTCGATGTTCTGAAAGCACCGGGTTCAGAGTCCCGCCAATCAATCACCTCTCCGTTCGGTTCATACCAATCAGTGGGCTTGGGAAACCAGGGAAAATGGGCCAGCAGGCCGGTTGGGCCTTAATGGGCCCAATTCCTATCCTAGCGGGCCGGTTATGCCGAAGACGGGCCGGGTAGGCCTAAATGGGCCTTGCTGACCGGGCTTCATACCGGGTGATGACTTGGGCCTCTGAACAGTAATAGGCCGGGATAATATTCCCCAACAATACTTATACACATTCATATTATAAATCTTTACACATTATATTATATATACTATATATAGTTATACATTATATTATATATTACTTATAATATATTTACACATTATATATACTATATATACTTATACTCATTCATATAGACATACACATTCATACATTTTATAAAAGTAGTTAATTGTTAGACTTCTCGTTTATCTATTAAATTAGTTAAACTAGTTACTTATTCGATTGCTACATTTCTCATTAAAGTAAAAAAAAGTAGTATATCTTTACACTTGTCATATTAATATTAGTTAAAGTACTTAATTGTTTCATTTGTCATATTAATATTAGTTAAAGTAGTTAATTGTTACATTTGTCATATTAATATTAGTTAAATTACTTAATTGTTACATTTCTCATATTAATATTAGTTAATTGCTACATTGCTCATTAAAGTAAAAAAAAATAGTTAATTTTTACATTTCTCATATTAGTTAATTGCTACATTTCTCATTAAAGTAAAAAAAAGTAGTTAATTTTTACATTTGTCATATTAGTTAATTGCTACATTTCTCATTAAAGTAAAAAAAAAGTAGTTAATTTTTACATTTCTCATATTAGCTAATTGCTACATTTCTCATTAAAGTAAAAACTTAGAAGTAGTTCGATTTTTTTTTTCAAGGAAAACAAATTGTTACACTAAAATATACTCATATTTTAGTTCGAATTTGCTATAGTTTTCTTAGTCACATTTTATTATTACTATTGTACTCATATAAAATATTTGATATCATTTAATATTTGTTCAATTTTAAAGATGGAGCGTGGTAGACATTCTGTAGATGTGGGTAATCTCCAACGCAACCGCAAGAGGGAGATTGCGTCGACTCGATCTACTTCACGCAAAGGCAAAGGTAAAGCACGGGCCGAGTCTTGTTTTCAAAGTCGAGATGATTTTGAAACGGATTACCAACGGCGAGATGATATGATGATGTCCGACGACCAACTACAAAACCTATTGTCCCAAAATGATCCACGCTTTGCACAAGAACAACAATTCCCGACAACCATTGATGAAGAGGAGCTCGAGGATGACGGTGTGGAGGAGGACGCGGGGGGCGACGGGACTCACGGCACCCCGGATGATGAGCAAGAGTTGGAGGACGAGGGCGGTTCAACCCAAATTGGTAAGAAATCTAAATATCCTATTATTGAAAACAATTTTACAAAAAGGAAACACAAAAATACCGAAAAATGGTACGCAAATTGCAATCATTGCAACAAAGAGTATAGCTTGGGAACTTCTGGCGAATACGGGAGTCTCACAAGGCATCTTAAGTCCGTCCACTTTGTGGAGTATACGAAAATAGAAAAAGGCAAGGAGAAGCAAACACAAATATCGAGGTTTGCAAATTTTCAACCCTTTGGTAATTTCTCCTATGATGATCAAAAACATTTGACTGGTATGTCTCATTTAATTGTTGAAGAAAATTTACCCTATATTTTGCCGAAAGCCTTGCTTTAAGAGATTATGCTCAAGGTACTTTAAATCCTCAATTTAGAAATTATAGTTGCAAAACGATTAAAAAGAAGTTATAAGGCAATATAACTTGGAAAAAGAAAAATTACAAACATTTTTCGCAAACTTTGATGGACGTGTTAGTATTTGTAGCGATATATGGGAGGATACTTATCATCATTTATATTATTTGGGTCTTACTGCACATTATATTGATGATGATTGGAATATGCATAAACGTGTTCTTGCTTTTCGTGAATTCAATGATCGTCACACTGTTGATGATATTTATATTCTCATTGAGCGTATTTTAATTGAGTATAATTTGATTGATAAGGTATTTGATGTAGCTTTTGATAATGCTAGTAATAATACTGCTGCTATACCTAGATTGCGTGAATTGTGTGGTGCTTCTACATTGATGGGTAGGTTTTTTCATCAACGTTGTGCATGTCATATTCTAAATTTGTGTGTACAAGATGGCTTAGCGGCATTAGGAAATGCTTTGGAGGTAGTGAAGGGGGGAATTAAATTGATTTGGGCTAGCACTCCACTAAAAATGCAATGGCAGCAATATTTGAAGGATAGACGTGTCCATTATTGTGTTTTTCCTAAAGATTTGTCTATTCGTTGGAATAGTACTTATAATTTAATTCAAGTACTTATTAGATATAAAGATCATTTTCCTGTTTTTTAAGACAAACTTGTAACTATATTATAAACTCGGCTGACATCGACACTTGTGAAAAAATTGTTAATGTTTTGGCATTTTTTAATAACGCAACTCAAACTTTTAGTCATGTTTATAAACCTACCACAAACGAATTTTTTGTTGAAGCTGTTAATCTCACCGGCGCTTTTTGTGAATTTTCCGATGCCGCTTACGTTAGTTATTTTTGTGATTTCATGAAACAAAAGTTTTTAAAATATTATTCACATATTCCGCATATATATGGTATTGCATTTGTTCTTGATCCTCGGTATATGGTAATATGGTATTACCATATTATGCTTCTTTTTTTCCAACTCAAGAGTTTGATGATAATCCCATCGACCCTAAACAAGATTTCAACGAGGTTAGTAATTTATTTCATCAATTGTATAATGAATTTCATGCACAATATGGTAATGCACCCCCTCCCATGCCACGAACATCTTTTTCATCTAAAGGAAAATCACTTTTAAAATCCACTTTTAGTTCTCTTTTGAAAAAAAGTAGAGCAACTCCCGCTACTGAACAAAGCTCAGGTAACGTACTTTCTTTGTATCTAACATTGAATGTTGATTATGAAGTTGGGGATGACTTTGACGTTCTTAAGTGGTGGAAGGAAAATGAAAGAACGTTCCCGATTTTATCAAAGATGGTTAAGCAAGTGCTAGCAATGTCGATATCAACCGTTGCCGTGGAACAAGAATTTAGTGCGGCCGGCAACGTCCTAACCGATTATAGAACGAGGTTGAATCCGGACTCTCTTGAGACGCTAGTTTGCTTCCACAGTTGGTTGAAGGCCCAATGAAGAACTCAAGAAATGACCATCGCTCCCACCCGCCACTTTATGGAAGAAACAACCGAAAGCGGAGATTCCGATTGATTTTTTATTACAAAATGTATTACATTTTTTAAATTCATCCTAATTCTCAATTGTACTTCTTATTTGAAATAAATATACTTGAATTAATTTATATTATTGTGTACATCAATTCAATAATGCTCAAACTTATAACTTAAATTAATTAATTGGTTACAAACTTATAACTTACAACTTCAAATTATTTTTGTAATAAGAATTATTCTAATAATATAATATATAATTTTTAAAAAAAATTATAAGGCCCGGCTCGGCAGGCGGCCCGGCCCGTGAACCGAGCAGGTGACCTGAACCGAACCGGACCCTGGGTTATCCGGACCGGTTCCGGACCTCCCATACCGTGAACCGAGGGCCGGCCGGTTCAAGGCCCGAACCGAGTCCACCACTATCTAGTACTCCGTCCCATTTAAACGTTCTCACACGGTTTACGACGTTTGATTGACCATAAAGTTAACTGATCTCTGTCATTAGTAGAATTATTTTTAGCAAATGAAATTTACATATTCAGAAACTACATTAAAACCGCTACAAAGCATGATCAAGAAAATTTAAGTTTGATAAAAGTTGGATATATAAAACAAAAAATTAAGAACAACGCACGTTGACCGGAGAATAGTGGATGGAAACCTTCAAATGGGACGGACCGACGGAGGGAGTAAAATTTTGGGAATTCAATTGAAATTGAGGGCGCTTGTCGGTCCCTATAATTTAATTTTTTTACATAAGGCCCCAATGCATAATTAAGGGGGTGTTAAAATGAATGACTGACAAAAAGCCCTCACCACTCATCATTTACTACTTCCACAAAACCAAATCTAATTGTACATCTAAATCTAGTGCATCCCCATCATAAACACCGAAATTATTATACACACCTCAATCCGAAGCCACATCCTAGACATAATATCAACAGTAGCCCTCGGTTTTCATGATTTTTCATTATCTTCTGTTGCCGAATGGTGGTTTGATGTAGAAGAAGACGATACACTGAGTCCATTGGCCTTAATTGAACCGGCAGTTGTGCTTCTTTGGTCAGGAACATCAACAGCGCCTTCGAGAACCGTCTTCTCCTCCTGCTGCTGTTGTAACATCTCCATATGTTTCAACGATGGCACGTCTCCCTTACAGAAACGTCTCCACATACTCCTATATGTCTCCTCAAGATTCAGGGTAAATTGTGACCCATCACATAGAGGCGATTTCAACATAAGATCCCGAAGACTCATCCTCAGCTTTGAGAGGCCAGTAAGATCAGATGCCAGCTGAATCGCCAACTTAACGTATTCATCTTCATCCTCGGCAACCAAGGTTTTTAACCCTAAAAAGAAAACTATCAGCAAACACTTTCCAGCAAATAAAGACAAGCAACATAATTATTTTGTAATCCCCCCCCCCCCCCCCCCCCCCACACACACACACACACACATCCCCTACACTCATATTCCCTCGCATATCTCAATCGCATGTAGCTTTTTAGAGTGCCACTCATCTCTTATGAGAGAACGCATGCTAGTCTGAAAAGCCATACATGAAAATATTCCGGTTTAAATCAATGGGTATATATCATAATGGTGGCTTTTTACCATGTCATTTCACTCATCATGAGAGATCTGATGGCCATATACAATAATGCAATTACTATTAAGAATAGCATGTTAATTAATACCATGTTCATAATCTTGTTGTAGTCTACTTTCATTGTTGAAAATCTCAAAGAAAGTCAACAGTCCCATAAAAAAATTACTACACTAAAAATTACAAAAGAAAAGGAAAACACTTGCCTATTGCATTGAGGAGGCTCACACCAACATTATGAGCATGTACAGAGCCTCTCATAGTGACACAAGGAACTCCCATGAATAAAGATTCACATGTAGTGGTTGTTCCCGCATAGGGAAAAGTATCCAAGCTACATAAATAAAAAAAATCCCATTGTGAGCTGTGGTCTATTACCCCATTTGCAAAAAAAATGAAATTCCCAAATTTGTTAACCACAGAAGATACAACAACAACAACAATAATATAATTACCTAATGTCCATAAGAGAGTATGCTTGCATATGATCATGGTTAAGAAGGATTAGAGGTAAAAGATCAACACGTTTTGGGTCCAGGCCCAACTGCTCCATGGTTGAAAGAAAACCTTGTCTTACACTATCACAACAAAAAGGCTTACACTTTACAATCAATCGTGAATTAGGAACTGCACATAGAATCCTTGCCCACACTTGCAACACTTCTGGTGTTATCTGTAATTATTAACAGAAGATAGTAAGATCAGCCAATGCAATCAAATGTATATGCTATGCTACTAAATATCTTAAAACATGTATCAATGACCTTTGCAAGATTGTTAAAGCTACCGAAAGTGATGAATCCATTAGATATGGCAGGAGTTGGAGATATGGGGCCCACTTCAGGGGATGGTGTATAACAAAGAAAGCACTCTGGCAAGCGGACTATTTCTTCAACATGTCTACATCCACAATTTAAATAGTTTAGACTCTAGACCAACAACAACATCCAAGTCTTATCCCAAAAGAGATTGGGTTCGGCTAACATGAACCGACACATGAAACCGGAGCTAAAAAAGATAAGAAAGATAAAAGATAAGAAAGATGAGATTAAAAAGATGACAAAGATATAATAAAGATTAAAATGATAAGATAAACTCTAGACCCACGACTTAAATAATGCAGCATCAGGGAAATCTGAAAAGTAATAAACTAATGATGAATCTGACACCTACTTTTGTTTTGTATCCAGGGGGTCAGCAAGAGCATCAGTAATCCTGTAGTCAATAGTAGGCAACCCTGTAGTATTTGGGTAGCCAATCCAAGTCACCTGCAAGTGTGACAAGTCAAAGAAAACTTATTTCAATATTGATGTGCAACAATACATGGGAAAGTAATCATGCAACTATGTACAGCTCTACTTATTTATAATATTGTGCCCAAGTTATCACAAGTAATAGTGTTCCCATTACTTGCCATGTTGGCAATACAAATCCTTTATAGCAAGTAGCAAAAGAATGAGATTGTACATACTACATATTCAGAGTATATAGTCTTGTGCCCTTCTTCTATGTGGTACATGACTAACATCAAAACATTCCCACGATACAAACACAAAGAGTGCATGTGAAGTTGGTACTAACTACTACTAGTAATATATTATCAGGAAAATTCAGGGCCTAATAAATAAATGACCCATAAAAACACATGAAGTAACCAAGTTACTTACTTGTACACCAATCTTACCTGAACTGGGGCTGGTCGGCAGGCCATCATTCCTAGCTTATTGTTTGCAGTGTGGCCAGTAAGTTCCACCAAGATGTCAATCTTATCTTCTCTAATCATGCTAGCAACTTTTTTCTCATCAATCCCATAGATATCTCTCCAGGCACCACCCTTTTTCAATACTCTGTCTCTAAATTTGTTGGTTTTTGCATCTGTCTGCAACAATATATAATAATAATAATACCATTAAGAAAAGAAAGTTTTTGTTTTTGCAAACTTATGAAAAGAAAGTTTATTCTCTTCAAACCCAAAAAAAATAGTTTATACGCACAAGGGAATTCACAACTGCAATATGACTGTACCTTAACAACAGCTGAATAGATGACTAATTTATAATTTGCATAGTCATGATAGGTGAGGGGTGCCTCGATGAAATAAGATACAGAATGAGTGAAAAAATCAGGAGACACGTATCCAATGATTAGTGGCCTTTCTGGGTCTTTTGGATTATCCCATGAAGTATATTGGGTATACAATCTCATGAAGCGCCTGCCCCAGTCTCTGCATTTTGAAATTTCATGTAAAAAGATGTACTCACATAACTGCAATCAAATGTGAATTCGTACACTTTCAAGTCTACTTCTGTGTGTGTTCAACAACAGTGCATATAGTTTGATAAGCTCATTTGATATTCAAAATTCCAAATTACTGCATATGCATTATATGGCTAACGCCTAACATTTCAGAGTTTAAGGCATTGTGAAAAGGCAGAGATTTCTCCTTTTTTAGCTTGAAAGAAAAGATAAGCTTCACTTGATCTCATTCATCATCATTAGTCATTACTAGTTGGGGTTGGTGGTATTAAACTTATAGTTCCCGTTAAATTGTATAAAAATTATTTAACACTATAAAATCATGCAGAAAAGCTTAGTGGCAATATCTTACACCGGATGTCATTCCTGTCGGAACCTTCATAAGGAAGAATAGGGAGATGAAAATTCTAAAACCTTCATCATCACAGATATTATATGATGCATGTATATTGTAGTTGTATAACACAGTGCTGAAGTACTAAACCCCTTTAATGTGTGCATTAAAGAGAGGAGAAATGGGGGCTCAGCAGCCTGCATATCAAGCACACATGAACACATTACCTGTGAGCCTCATATAACTTATCGTCAGCTCCCTCATGTATGTAGTTCATTGCAAGCAATCGATTCTGCAGAGAAAGATAACAACTTATATGAGACAAACTAAGTTATCACAATTTCACAATAGTGATAAACCAGAACTCTACACACACACCCACGAACAAACGTGCACAACCTAAACACCTAAAAAAACCATTTTGATTCTAGTGTCATCAGAAACATGTTAGCCATTGAGGAAGTGCCAAAATTAGGGCCACGCTCCAACCTTTAAAGGCACATGCATACATAATGTAAAACAATTATAGTAAAAGTCCAGTTTGGCTTAAGGCTCTAGTTAGGTCATCATTATCATTACCCCAGTGCCGCAAAGGCTCCCACCTATGGTGGGGTAAGGGGGTCGGATGTACGCAGTCTTACTCCTATACTAAAGCACAAAGAGACTGTTTCCGGCTTAAGGCTCTACTTAGGTGACTAGGTTTTTTCTCACTTTAGGTAAATTATACTCCTACATCCAGCATGACCCAAGCAGTCTCTGAATAAGAAAATGACCCCAGTGTATATCCTAGTCGTGCCTATTGCTGTTGACAATTAGTAACATTACAAATAGAAGATTTCATCTTTATTCTCTGATTCTCCTTGCAAGTGCTAATGGACCAGAAATACAGAGACGGCAGTGAGCCAGAGTTATTTGGTTAGAATCTTGACACCATAATGATCA